CAGTCAGGTACGCCGCCCTTGGATGGGGACGTCCTTGGCATCGGGTACGTCTGGCGGGCCTGGTGTTTTGGAAGTGTTGGAGTGGCGAGCGAGGTGTCTTGAGTTCGGTTTGGAATGCTTCGAGCTGCCATGGGTCAGCTTCCTGAGGCTTGGGGCCCAGTACAGTTCGCGCTCCTCGCAGGGAGCTCGGGTTCTCAGGAGGGAGCTCGCTCTTATCAGGGAGCTCGGGCTCCTAGTAGGGAGCTTGGACTTGGGAGGCTCAAGTTTTTTAGGGAGTTCGGGTCCTTTAGCTCGGGTTCTTTAGGGAGCTCGGGTCCTTTAGCTCGGGTTCTTTAGGGAGCTCGGGTTTTAGGGAGCTCGGGCTCCTGGTACCGGGCTAGGACTTAGGGAGCTCGGGTTTTAGGGAGCTCGGACCTTTAACAGGGAGTTCGCTTTTAACAAGGAGCTCGGACTAAACACAGCGATCTGGAGTTGGGGTYCGGTAGYGAGTTTTGACTTGCTTCCGATGTTCGCTTTGGGTGCTCTACTGTTCCGAGCTGCTTGCCTTTGCCACGCGTCGGGCGAACGCGAGGTCGGGCCAAATTTCCCTTCATCAATAATAAAGTCATAACTGTAATTTCATGTCGGACCGAGTTTGTGCTAGGTCAAAGTATAAGGGAGATTTAAGCATTATAATAAGTATAATCCTAAAATTAGGTTGAGTCGATCCAGTGTCGAATTGAGCCCGTACAGAGCATGTACAGTTCAGCCCAGAGCATTTTTGTAAGTTTACAATTAAACTGCAACGTACTTTTCTAAACTGAATTCAGGCGAAAATCATGTTAGGGTGAAGACAAATCCGTACTAAACCCAGTCACTTCCCTCTAAGTCAAGTCGCGTAGGAAATAAAATCTGTACATGGTAATCATCCTACGTTCATATTAGACTTTATGGTCGGCATATTCTAACATGGTGGCTGCCAGAAAAGTAAAACTGGGATAAATAATTTAATTTTGAAAGTGAATGTCAAGAGGGGTGATGAAGTTAGCAATATTTTGAGACATGAACTTACTTGCATTCACATCTCACCTACCCAAACTGGGGGGTGGGGGATCACTCGATCCACACTTGCACAGTTCAAACCAATACCGTTAGCAACAAGTCTGTTTCTCCTTCAAACTAATAACTTTTGATCGAGACCGGAGACTCATGATCTCGGATTGGTGCCACAGGACCAAACATTATATAGCATGGTGGGTCTTACGTAAGATGTGTGAAAAGGAGTCAGACGACAAATCTCATGGATTTGAATTGTGCAATATTAATTGTTTTCACTAGTTGTGTATTTGGGTTAGGTAATGTCCCTGGTGGAACCCACAGTTCGGACTGCTTTTCTGTTAAGCCAGTTCTGAGCGATTTTATTGACTCCCAAAACAATCCATACACTTTTGGTTTTGGTCAGTGATGAGCAGGATGCACACAAGTCTCACTGACCACACCATATAGAGCCTGCAGTTCCTATGGTGATAAGTCGCACATAAGGCTCAACGACTTGGTCATTAATTAACAACTGAGGAGTGACTCAATTGTTAATATATATATATATATGATTCCTGTTACACTGACTTTGAAGAGGGGGTTATTAATGTGATGTGTATCATTAAGGCCCCCTTTTATTGGAATCTGAATGGGCTATTTTGATTTCAATTGTTTAATTGGATGGAATCGGAATCTCATTTCCCATTTGAGGTAATGGCCATTCCCTCCCCTTCCTTGGATTGTTGTACTCATTAACAATTTGCTGGGATGATTGGGAAAATGCCCAGCAGCGTGTTCCTAGACCAGGTTGGAATTGGATGAGAGCACATTTGCTGCAATGCAACACTCAGTTACCAGTTCGGATCTCCTACCCACAGGACACTA